CCCCCCCCGCCACAATGGTCCCTGCCGTGGCCCCTCCCCTCGCACCGATGACCATGGTCTCGTCGGGGATCTCCTCGATGAAGCAGCGCTTCTCTGTCTCCCCAATGTGGAAGTAAAGCCCGTGTGCGCCGCAGCCGAGGAGCAGCAGCAGCAGCGCGGCCTCCGCCGCGCTCAGCGCCCTCAGCGCCGCCATGGCCCTGCCGCTGCCGCCCGCGGGGGCGCTCTGCGCATGAGCTGCCGCCTCACCGCGCACGCTACGCATGCGTTTCTCCCGCACTTAGCGCCCTGCGCCTGCTCCGGGGCTTCACATCCCGCATTGCGCAAGCGCATATCGCGCCCTTACCGCCCTGCCCGTGCATGGGGGCTTCACCTCGCTCTCTGCACATGCGCTACCCGCCCTGGGCCACTCAGCGCTGCCCACGCCGCTCCTGTGGGCCTCCCGCCTTCCTAACTGCGCATGCGTACGACGCCCCCTCGCGGTGGCGCAACAGGGAGGGCGCTGCCCCCTCGCTGGGGAGTCTGTGGGTTCGAGGCCCGCTCCGGCCAGTCGGGGGTCGCACTGACCCCCTGTCATGTCTGACCTCCTGTCATGTCCCCGTGTCGCCCCCCTCCATGTTTCACCTCGATGTCACCCCCCCGAGGTGCCGAGCGCTGGGCAGGGGCGGGCCCCACTTCCCTCCCCAGCAGTGTGGCAACACCGCTGCCACCTTCCTTCCTTCCTTCCTCCCTCTCGCGGTCCCGCAGCATGAGTAGGGTGGGGGGTCCCGCGGGTGAGAGCGGGGACCCCTGTCAGGGCTCGGCGGGACGGGAGGGGAAGAGGAACCGTGGTGATTGTTACGCCACTGGGAGCCCCCCACCCCCGCAGGACTGGCATTTCGAGGGGGTTATAAGGGCGGGGGTGCTGGGCTGATGTTGGGGTGCCAGAGGGTGCCAGGGCTGCTCCGGAGCACCATGGCCAGCGCCCTCACCCTCTCCCTCTTCCTCCTCCTCTGCGCAGAGGCTGAAGGCTTCTCCCCCTGCCAGGCACCCACCCTGCAGACCAAGGTGTTCCAGTACCGGTAAGGAGGGTGGGGGGCACCCCTAGGGGACCCTGAGGGGTGGCAGAGGGTGGCACCGCTGTCTGTGCCCCCCCAGGCTCTGGGATGTGAACCAGAAGTCGCTGTACCTGCGGGATGACCAACTGCTGGCCGGGCACCTGCAAGGGGCCAACGCTGCCCTGGAAGGTGATGAGGGGGCACGGGGGGGACGTGGGGGTGGTGAGGGACCCTGACCCTAATCCTGACGGCCCCCTGGGTGTGTGACCCCCCCAGAGAAGGTGTTCTGGGTGCCCAACCGCGCCTTCGAGCCCACCCGGCTCCCGGTCATCCTGGGCATCCGCAACGGCACCCGCTGCCTCGCCAGCCACCCCAAAAACAGCACCACCCCGGCACTGCAGCTGCAGGTGGGACAGACATGGGGACAGGGGCATGGGGACACTGAGGGGACACCAAAGGGATGGCGACACCATGGGATGGGGACACTGTGGGACAGGGATGCCAAGGGGATGCCATGGGGATGGGGACATCACAAGGGTGGAGACATGAGGACTGCAGGGATGGGGACCCAGGGACCTCAGGGATGGCACAGTGTGGGGTGGGGACACAGGGACTGTGGGGATGGGACATTGCAGGCACGGTGCCACCGCAGCCTCCGTTGGCACAGTGCCCGTGTCCCCTGCTGGCCGTGGGTGCCAGCCCTGCTGTGCTACCCCCCAGGCCGTGGGTGACCCCTCTGTCCCTACAGGCCGTGAACATCCGGGAGCTGCCCCACACTGGGGAGGCCTCGGCTGCCTTCACCTTCTTCCGCTCCTACAAGGACGGGCTGTGGCGCTTCGAGTCCGCTGCCAACCCCGGCTGGTTCCTCTGCACCTCTGCCCGGGGCCACCAGCCCCTGGCGCTGTCCCGCAGCCACGATGCCACCCACCTGCTCGACTTCTACTTCCAGCTCTGCTGAGCCCCCCTGGCACAGCCATGGAGACACTCCCAACTGGGAACAGGGACGTCCTCAGCCTGGGGACAGTGGCACCTCCCCCAGGGTAGTGCCAGCCCCTTGGGGAGGGTGACATCCCCACCCAGGTTGGTGACATCCTCACCCCAAGGATGGTGCCAGCCCCCTGGCGAAGGTGACATTCCACTGGGGAAAGTGACATCCTCACTCCAGGGTAGGTGCCATCCCCCCAGGATGGTGCCATCCCCTTCGGAAGGGTGTCATCCTCCCCAGGAGAGTGGCACCCTCACCCTGGGCATGGTGCCAGCCCCATGGGGACGGTGACATCCTCACCCCCGGGCTGGTGCCACCACCCTCCCACCACCTCTGACAGTGCCATCCCCGCGGGGACAGCGCCGTCCTCCCCCCTGCGCCGCTGAGGCAATAAAGATGCTCAGGCCAGCGCGGTGCCCGTGGCGTGGGTGGCACCGGGGACAGGGCACGGGGGGGTGGCGGTGGCTGCGTCACCCGCGGGGTGTCCCGGGTTGCGCCACCGGCCCGTGGGGACGGGAACGGCGCGTCCCTAGCCCGGGGTGACGCAGCCGGGGCTGCCCCGGGCCGGGCACCTTCGGGGCCGCCCCTTCCCGGATCCCGCCGGGGAAACGACGCTTCCCGCCCGGCACACCCGGCCTGGCACCGCGGGGAGGGGACACGGGGACACGGCACACGTGGGAATGGGGCACACGGACACCGCGGGGTCAGGGGATGTGGGACCAGGGGACACCGGGACACGCGGGGCTGTGGGGACGGGGCACATGGGGACAGGGCACACGGGATCTTGGGGACAGGACACCATGGGGACAGCGCTTGTGGAACCATGAGGACAGGGAGGACACAAACATGGGGACAGGTATCACGGGGATGGGGCACATGGGCATGTGGGACCCAGGGACAGGGGGCATAGCAGGGACAGGGCACTCAGGAAAAGGGGGATGGGACATGCGGGGCTGTGGGAATGGGGCACAGAAATACTGTGAGAACAGAGATTGTGGGGCAGGGACAGGGGGTACAGGACCACGGGGATGGGACACAGGTGCCTGTGAGGACAGGGCACGTGGGAGTTTGGGGACAGGGCTCACAGGCACCATGGGGACAAGGCACAGGGGACCATGGTGACAGGGCACTGGGGACACACCAGTACCTGTGGGACAGGGCACACTGCGGGGACAGGGCTGGTGGGGGGGGACATGGCACAGGGGACATCCCTGCCACAGTGACCGTGGGCAGCACGATGGATAATGGGGACAAGGGGCCCAGGTGGCATTTCCCCATGCCAGCTTGGCACTGCCCTACAATCAGCAGGGCGGGCTCTGCCCCCCGCCCTGCCTGGCCCTATAAAACCACCACCACCCCCAGGGGACAGAGCCCAGACAGGACCGGACCTCAGGAGCTGCCAGAGTCACAGGTACCTGGGAACGGGGACAGGGACAGGCCAGGTCCTGCCTGGGAACAATTCCCGTGGCTGGGAACAGGGACAGGGACAAGCCAGGTCCTGCCCAGGAAGGATTCCCAGGGCATTCACTCTGGATGCTCCTGATGGCCGGGGTTGGCAGCAGGGGACAGGGGTGGGTGGCAGGGGTGTCCTCCACCTGTGTCCCCCGTGTCACCCGTGTCCCCCTCTCCCTCCAGGCCCAGCCATGTCCCGCATGTCCAGACCTGCTGTCACGTGAGTGGGGACAGGGTGGGATGGGGCTGCCCCTCCCTTCGGACCTGGGTCGGGTCACCCCGTGTGACACCCATCTTCACCCCCCTCTCTCTCCCCTGTCCCTGGTGCAGAGGGGCCCAGGGTCCCTGGGGACCCCCCAAGCCGTCCCACCCCCTGGGAGTCCTGGCGGGGCCCGGGAACGTGGCCGAGTCTGTCGTCGACCCCGACATGGAGAAACTGTTCGAGGACTTCCTGGGGAAAGGTAGAGGCAGTGCCTGCTGGGTGCCCCACGGGTCCCCTGTGTCCCCAGGTGTCCCTGTGTCCATCCCTGCCCCCAAATTCCCATGTCCCCCACCCCACATCCCTGTGGTGCCCACTTGTCCCCGTGTCCCCTTGTCCCTGTGCACCCATGGTGCCCATGTGCCCCCTTGTGTACCCACGTGTCCACGTGCCTCTTTCCCACCCCCCACATCTGTCACACTCGTGCCTCCAATCCCCATGTCCCCATGTCCCCCATCCCCACACCCTTGTCATGTCCCCACATCTCCATGTGCCCAAGACACCCCATGTCCCCATGTTCCCCATGTCTCACCTGCCCATCACCCGTGGGCCCCATCCCCACATCCCTGTGTCCTCACATGTCCCCGTGTCCCCAAAAGTGACGATGGTGGCCTCGGCGGCCTCGCGCCCCCCGGCCCAGCCATACCACTACGTGCTGCGGGACACGGAGCAGAAGGGGCTGTGCCTGCAGGACGGGCACCTGGTGGCCACCAGCCTGCAGGTCGCCAACGCCGCCCAGGAAGGTGGGTGTCGTCCCTGGGGAGGGTGACCCCCCTCGAGGGCCCCCTCCCAGCCCTGTGTCCCCACAGAGCCCATCAGCGTCGTGCCCAACCGGCACCTGGAGCGCCGGCGCTGCCCCCTCATCGTGGGCATCCGCGGGGGCACCCGCGCCCTGTCCTGCGGCACTGGCCCCGAGCCTCGGCTGCACCTCGAGGTGAGGGGGGACCTGGGGGGGCAACGAGGTTGGTCAACCCAAGGTAGATGACCCAAGGGGAGGGGCACCCAGAGGTGGGTCAACCCAAAATGGGGGCACCCTGAGGTGGTGGGGACCTGGTGGTGATGTCACCTGGAGGTGGGAGTTTCTTGAGGTGGGGTCACCTGGCAATGGAGTCACCTGGAGATGGGGGTTCCTGGGATGGTGCCACCTTGGGGTGGTGTCCCAGCTCTGTGTGTCCCTCCGGTAGGACGTGGGGCTGCTGGAGCTGTTCTCAAAGAAGGGGGACGAGGCCACACCCTTCACCTTCTACAAGACCTTCGGGGGGTCCACGCACACCTTCGAGGCCGCAGCGTTCCCAGGGCTGTTCCTCAGCACGGCCCCAGGCCCGGGGGAGGCCCTGGCCATGGCCCCCCCCCCCCGGGGCCACCGCCTTCTACCTGCGCCGAAAGTGACCCCGGCACCCACAGTGGGGGGCACCCAGGGGGGGGACATCCATGGGTGGGGGGTTCCTCCCTTCCAAATAAAGGGACTGTCTTGGTGTCAGCTCGGGGTGTGTGATTTGGGGAGGGGGGCCAGGATCGGGCCTCGTGGGGCAGGATCGACCCACAGGGGCAGGATTGGTCCATGGGGACCGGGGCGGATCCATGGAGGGGC